AGGACGAACCCAGCCATGTTGGTCACTCCATAGAAGATGGGTGACGTGTCAGCGGGTTAGTAGGTAATGGAACATTAAACATATAGCACTTTTTTTATTTCCTGACGACTGGATTGGGCACAAATAACTGACCAAACTATGGAGCACCTTTTTGGAACAGATCGTAGGTTTCGTGACGGAATATTATATCAAACAGATAAAATAACTAATTTATCAGCAGTCGATGATAAACTTATTACCATTTTGATGTCTTTTTGTGCCTTGGCTGCCTCTTCCTTTGCCTGGTCGTAATTAAGCGACTTTTCCTTAGCTGTCCACATCGACAAGTTGTGAAGAACCTGCGGAAATATAACAATAGAGTTTATGTTTGCGGACATAAGTATATTTTTGGACCCCACTCTGAGTCGAGGGTTAAAACTAGCTCACGGCAGAGAAAGGCTCCAAAAATATTTATACCTCTATCATTATCATTATTACTTTGAAGGCGCTGAGAAATTAAAAAGAACTGGAAAAATAACAAAAAAACAAAAGAACAAACCAAAAGTCTGAACAATCAGACGAGCGTGCGAACATTTAAGCCCGCAAAATGCGCCACAATGCCCAATAAAGTGACAATAATTGCCCTTTTTTATCCGTGTGAATCTTCTTCATCCTAAAATCTCCCTTTCCGTCAACTTTCCTCTTCTGATCTTCGCCCATAAAGATTTCACAGTTCCCGTTAATTTGACAAAAGCTTAGTTTCAAAAAGCTCCGCAGAAAAATACAAACATACAAACTAAACAAAACAAAACCAAAAGAAAGAAAAACAAAGTAAAACCGCAACAACAACGCAACCACATGAACATACCACCAAAAACAACAACAACAAAAAATCACAAGAGGCAAAACAACACCAACAACAACAACAACAACAAAACAATAACGTCGCAAAAAAGAAAAAGCAAAAAAAAAAAAATAAAATAAAAACAAAAACTCACGCCGATATCTAATCTCATCGGTGGGAATTCAATGTTCTTTATTTGTAAACGCTCCAGAACCCCTTGCTCCCCATTAGAGAGACCTCTCTTTTATGTCCCCTTCCCCCCTTCCCCACCCTCGACTAAAAAAACTTCAAGTTTTCAAAAGGCTCACACCTCCCTCATGCGCTTTTTTCTCGCCCACTTCCACATCAAAAGTTTTACAATGGTTGTTACATTGTTCTTTGTTCCGGCTAACTTTGCATGCGGTATATGATAAATCATTACTGAGACTCTTTATGAAGTTCTCTTTTAAAAAGAGAGGTTTTCAATCGGAGAAATGCATACTGTTAAGTCACAAAAGTCATTCAATCTGGGCAAAAACCAGACACAAGTTCCTGCACAATGATCGCCCCACAATTTGTTAGCCCCAAATATCAAAAATACTTCTCCCCTCCCCCCCCCCCAGGGGATTGCTCGCTAATTGCGCACGGTAGTTGAATGCAAGAATGATATTAAGTGAATGCTAATTTTGTTCCTTAACCTGTCGGACATCCTGGTTTGCCCCTAAAATAATCTGCTCCATGGCCTGGGGTGGTATCTTGAGTCCTTCTTTAAATGCTATGCTCATCATGGCTCCCTGAAATTGAAAACGACCAACCTTCTTTACTTTGAGTTCCCAAGGGTTGGCTCGATTACCAGCCGCTGTTCGGGAATATGAGCCCGCACTCCTCCCCTACGCTGTCTCTTTTTAGGGAGGAGCGAAGACCTGACACGAAAAAGCGGCGGAAATCGAACGTATACCAAGGCTCCTTGTGATTTGTTATAGTTTTTAACGCTGGTTTGACTTTTGGTGACGTGCAGAACCGGTGTAATTTGTTGCGTTTCACGGGCGACCAGAGACAAGTGCTAGGCAAGCACAAAGCGCAAATCAGGCGCGAGGGTATGTACACGTTGATCTTTTTGCGCTCCTCTCCTCGCGCGCGTGACTCGCACTTCGCGCTCGCCTCACGCTTGCCTCTGTTCGACTGAAACACGCAAAAAAAATTATGCCTGTTCTGCAAGCTAGGGTTAAGGTCTTGAACACACATTTGTAATACATCCCATACTGTACTCCTGGGTTCAAATCTCTTTCTGAGTAAATTACATGTATATGCATGTCATCATCAAATCGACTAGACAAACACCCATTGCGTTACCTTGATCTGTTCAACCCGAGGTCTCTGAAATCTCAAATCAAAACAGTGATTTGCCAAGCTGCGCATTTTGGGACTGTTCCTGTCATTACACATGCAGATGACGGGTATCTTTGAACTCTTTATCAGTGATATGAGTTCCTGTTGAAAAAAAAAATACAGATAAGAGATACAACTTTTTGTCAAAGTTTACTTTGAAACAATGACTTGAATTCATGACTTTCCAAAATGATCAAAATACGTTATAATTATTATGTACTAATCTTAGTACTGAATAAGAAGGAAGTTGTTTCATTTCGACTGATACTGTAGACGAATTTTAACTGTATTTTATTTCAAGGATTGTCAGGCTCGATTCCTAAAGGTTACAACACTCCAAGGGGTCAAAACCTTTCAAGGATTGCACAAGATTCCGTAGATTCACCAAAGGTTCACAGATCATCAAGATGGCTACAAGAACACAACACGTTTTTTTCCTTTGGATCTCTCCCAGAAGGCCCAGCGAGCTCCTAAACTCTTACATCATCGCGCACAGATACTACATCATCACAGAGTACATACTGTCAGATACTAGTTAAACGCTGAATAAAAGCACGAAAGAGCAATACGAAATAACTTGAAAACAAAAACAACAGGATTCCCTTGAAAACAAAACAAAACAAAAAAGCATAATAAACAAACATTAAACAAACAAACAAAAGAGGCAACAATCGTGTTTTATTCTGACCTGCATTCCTCCTCTGTCCTCGTTTCCCGCCATTCCATCAACTTCATCCATTAAGAGAACATGTTTACTGGGGTCTGCTTTTTGACCTGCCACAACAACAAAAAGAGAAACCGCGAGTCAAGCGCTTTGTCCTTCATTATTGTTTAACGTGCAACAATAAAATCGTTTTCTTGAAACTGTGGATCATGATCCTCTTCAATCGTTTCGATCCTCGATACTCCACACGCGAGCCTCGATAGTTTCAAGTATTGAGGATCGAGTTACGAGTCGAGATTGAGCGGTATTGTACACAAGTACAGAGTGCAATTGAGCAGAAACATTTGGATACACTATAGTGATGAGTTTAGAAAATTAGCCTCAGATCTTTGGAGTTCTAAATAAGGGGCACAACGAGCATATCAGCCATGCGTAGATAGGTTTACGCGTTTTCGGTTACCGCAACAATTTGCAACAAAAATAACTTAAATTGTTAAAGGATGTGTATTGTTTAGGCTGATACGAATTTTGATGATTCATATCAGCTGATGCATGTAAGAATTATTTTTAGCTATATTTCAGTGTAGGGGGCCAGCTACGCTTGGCAGAATAAGTAAGACACAACTTCTATGCGTCTGATTCCTTGTATTCTTGTACAGGATAATAAAAACGAATAACAAATGAGGGTCTATCCGGCGACGATTCGAAGTTATTGCTTCTTACACAGCCTAAAATCCTTCGCTAAAACTAACTCGGTAAAAAACGGCAAAAAAACAGTACTGTAAGTAACGCTCAAACTACGCACGTGATGTGGGAAACTGCGCCCAAGGTATATTGTCAGCGGCGCAATAATATGTATGTAAACGCGACGAATCATACATTCAGTTTGATTCACGATGAATATCTAGGACAGGGATATATTAAAAATAAATTTTCTTTTGGACCTCTGAGGAAATATTTGCTCTGACAGTCCGCTAAGTCTACACCTTTCGCCTTTGCCGCAAAATAGGAATATGAACAATAACATTGTTAGAAGTAATAAGTTTGCTATCAAGCATCAATGTGCTGTGTTCAGTGTAGGAGAAAAGGTGATATTGAGAGAATGATACAGTGGAAAGTCAAATGAATAAAGTGGGTAAGTTTCTAAAGAAACTGTGGTGCTGCATCGGTGGGAGAGTATAACAGGGTAATTTAGTACCATCAGCTGCGTTAACAACGTAAATTGTCCACCGTAAAGAGTTTGGAAGCTGACGTTTGGAGCGTTAGTCCTTCGTCAGAGTCCTTCATATATTCGCACTGACGAAGGGCTGACGCACGAAACGTCAGCTTTAAAACTCTTTTCGGTGGCCAATTTACGTCACCAAGTCAGTTAAAAATACAAAATTACCCTACAGTGGAAAGTCAGTTTAGTAAGACAAGGGAATGAATGAAGCGTCTTCAATAACATCAAAGTCACTCCAAATCTTACAGAAATTTGACAACCTGTAAGAAAGCCATCCATGGTTTTATTGCTCAGTGAATGAGAAATGTGTTCTTCCAAGGTCTTTTTGCTCCGTGTGTCACTGGCATTCATTTCAATGTACGTAAAACCAAGCTCTTCACAAACCAGTGTAGCTGTTGTTGTTTTTCCAACTCCTGGGGAACCGGACAGAAGAGCTGCCTTACAGGAAGACCCATCTTGATCTTTGTTGAAAAAGGAAGCTGTACAAAATAAAATGTTTACAATTGTGATTACATTACTAACATAACTACATAACTACATGTGAAAGTGACTGTCAAGTGAAATAAACTCATCAAAGTTCATAAGTTACACCTGTTTAAAAATGTACCCCTGAATGTGGGAATTAAGAAACAATCTGGATTCAGTGTGAAAGGTATTCAGTCCAGGCTAGACAACATTTGCATCACAACTCAATTTAAAGTCCTACGTAAAATATCTGTAGATTAAAGTTAGGTTCATGCACTGAATCCTTTTACTCCAAACAGCTCACTAGTAGCACGGCATTATGTATCATGGTGGTTTGTTGTAATTGGTGCAATTCGATTGGGCAATGCACCAATTACAACAAACCATCATGATGATACATAATGCCGTGCCACAACAAGTCGACCCCATCGCCTGAAGAAGACTTACAGTAAGGAGTCGAAACGTTGCGTTCCACATCAAGTGACTTTGTCGTGAGACAACAGATTGTATTGATATTGTACTGATATTGTAGGAGAAATCCTTACAATAGGGTTCCCCTGTCTGGCTACAACCCAAACTTTTTCATCTGCTTTCTCCAACAGTTTGCCTGAACCGTTTGCATTCTTGCCTGAAGAGAAGTTACATGTACAGGTATTTGAGGGAAAAGCATCTTGAGAATCAAATACACACGTACTCACATTTAGAGGCTGGTTTCTTTCTGTTCTTTTCCCAGTCTCTCAGCCAGTTCATCAGCTTTCTCATGTTGCTCTTATCACCCTGCTGACCAATAATCTGCTTCACTGCACGAGGCCGATATTTGTCTACCCATAACAGACTTGGTTCTCCTGCACAAAAACAAAATTACCTTTACTTTCAAAATCCTATGTAGATTTAAAAATAAACAAACAAACAAACAAACAAACAAAACAAAAAACTTTCCTTTCTTGTAACTCAAGTTAAGTAACACAAACAAGTCTACAGGTGGAATGAAGGGTAGTGGTAAAACTGACGTGTGGGTGACTGGACAGAAGAGAACAAGCAGAGTAAGTGACAGATAGAGAGAGACAGTAACTGGAAGAATGAACATACATGAAATAGCAGATAAACAGACAATCTGAGTGATACTGTAAATTAAGTGGACAGAAGAAGGAAAATGAGCATGAACAAATTATGTTATCAGTTGCACACTAGCCTATGGCTCCTATGACATTTTATTGGTACATGTACATCACATACATGTGCATGTATTTATACAAGTCGTACCTGGATGTACACACGAGAGATTATATTCACTAAGTATAATCACCCCACAATACATGTAGGATGCTCACTGGTAAGGAAATTTAAGGGATATAATAAAAGAGTGAATAACATTTTCAGTGAAGTCGTGCTCTTGTGCTAATTGTTGAAAAGGTTTGCAACACCCACCTTTCAGTGCTGGTGATGATGATGGTGTTTGTGTTGCTGGAGATAACACAGACTTTTCACTCAGTTGCGATGAATCACCCTCAAACTGATCTTTTCCCTGGCTGAGAGACTCCACTGGTTCAGCTTTCTCCTTCTTCTTTGTCTTCTTCTCCACACTTGGTGGTTCATAGCTGGTCTCATTGCCTGGTTTTGTTCTAACAAGCTCAAACAGACCATCTTCATCTATTTGTGATGTTCCACATTGCTTAGCCTAACAAATAAGCACCAAAGTAAACTGATAAAACAACAACAACAACAAAGAAACCATGGGTTTCTTGTCAAGTAATGTTTAGCTACTCGAGGAAGCAAATACGACCTTAAACCAGTTAAAAGGTCTCTTAACAAAGAAACATATAGTGACCTCCACAGCAAGAAATACAAGTTTATGCTACTTTGAAAAAAAAAAAAAAAAAAAAAAAAAAAAAAAACCTCCTTTAGAAGCCAACATCAAAATGAAATTAATTAATTTCTACCCTTCAGCTGGTAAGTTTTTAATTTCTTGTTAGTTTGCTATACAGACTTACAAATCGTCAATTAAGTGTGTCAATTCATGCAAATTTGTGGCAAGTTTCCCAGGTGTTTTTGCAATAAGCTGCACCTGCATTTGTTATAAAAATCTAGGGAGAAAGGTGCAGCTTATATGTTTGTGTTCATGGTTCTTTTCTTTTTTTTCCACTTTTGAGCTGTGCATTACAATGTACCTTGGAAAGTTTGCTCTCTCCAGGATCGCGTCCCACCACAACATAACTTGTTTTCTTGCTCACTGATTGGGTAACTTTTCCACCATATCTTTGAATCAAATCAGCAGCCTCCTCTCTCTCAACACTTTCCAAGATTCCCGTAATAACAAATGTCAATCCATCCAAACAGTTTTCTGCTCCCTAAAAATTAAATTATCAAGTGCATGCATGATTCAAGATGTGTAGACAAATAATCAATTCTTCCCCTGAAGGCTTCTTAATACTGTCCAAACTGAAAAGTTATACATGCCAAAAAATTAAAAGACTCAGTAGATATTTTTTGTTTAGCATCTCTAACTAAAATTTGAAAGGATGGAAAGCAAACCATTAAGAGCTTTGAGAGATAACAATAATTTAACTACCAGAAGAAATTAACATGTAACTTCTCCCAAGAATATCCATACATTATCTCACAAACAGGTAATGAGAACACTAAAACTTATCAGGTACATGTAATTGTTATAATGATCTAACAACAAATTCTTGTTATTAATTTACAGGAAAATGTCTGGCAGCAAGAGGAGAGAATTAATAATCAGATCTTGGACTTTGAAACCAACCTGAGGGATTTCCTTTGAACCAAGTGCCCTTGGACCATCTCTTGCCATAAAACTACGGTAGCCAGACTTTTTCTTTTCCAGTGAGGGTGGAATTTCAGCCACTTCCTCTGATTTTGACACCTTTGGTGTTCCTTTGATTGGAGTTTCCTTATCGACATCTTTTTTATCCTTTTTTGGAGTAACAGTTTTCTTTGGACTTGGTTTTGAGTCTCTAACTGGAGTTTCTGGAACTGTAGCAGCTTTGGCAGCCAGTTTGCTGGCAGGAGTTGTCTTTGGTACTCCCTGAAAAGTCCATGGATAAGTGAACAAAAGTTACATGTATATTAAACATTCTAACAGCAAAGAGTTGTCCTCACAAGGTAAGAGTTGACCCAAATAGGAATGTTGAAGGTGACAGACACTGCTGCTTTGAAAAATGGACACAAAGTGGCAGCATCTCCTGGATTGTCAAAGTTAAAATCAACAAGAATGTACCTGAAAGTTTTGTCACCATTGTTACTGTTTTTAGTATAAATTCCAGGTACAATAATGGTAGTATTTTGAGTAGTGTTAGTATTGTAAGTAATGTTTTGTTGCAAGTATTGTTAGTTATGTGCATCTGAGTAAAAACCATCTACTGTCATAGTAGGACAGGTTAATTTATATACAACATGCACATGTACCACCAGTTAACAAGTTTGAGTAAGCTTTTGGATCTCATACAGAGCCAAATTTACTCATAAAATGTTACTGTTTCATCTACAAGTACCTTATTCAAGTACTTAGTAACAGTTACCATACACATGAAATCATATCAGATCCAATCCATTCTAGTTTCAGGATAGCAAGTTTATGCATAAATAGTAATGATTAATTTTGCAACAATAAAGTATGGTAATCAAAAGGCTTACAAACCTTTTTCTTCTCAGGGGAAGGCTTTTTAACCTCAGACTTTGATTCTGAGAAGTCTTCCTTTCTTTTCTTTGATGGTTGCTCTGTTGTGTGACGGCTGACATTCCCATTTTCTCTTCCTTCTTTTTCTCTCCCATTTTTATACTCTTCTTTTCTATTCACTTTGGAGTCTTCATTTTCTTCAGACTCATCTGATCTCTGTTGGAAATGAAAACAAAAAACAACTATTGATGGTTTTAAAAGGAATTTAGGGATGATCATTAGGTGGCTTGAGCTCTGGATCAGCTTAAAATTTGCACTCTCAAAAGTGATCAATTTTGTAATGTCCCTTAACAATACCAATTCACTGTCAAGCAGCAATGAAATGAGAAGAAAGAACCAAACAAGAGGATATCAATTGATTGAACACCATATTCTCAAAGATATTGTCATAACATTTGTGTGAGGACAGTAAAGAGAGTTGATTTTAATATCTTAGGAGCAAAAGGACTTATCCCTTTAAGGGGGGGCCCCCATGGTGTTGTTTTTGCCAAAACTATTCTTCAACATTTCCTCTCCCCATCCACAAAGTTTCTTGCATATGATTACATAATGCGTGACTCAAACACTGGCCATTATACCCATTAATTTTGTGGCATGGAATGTGTTAACTGTGGTACATCCTGATATAACTACTGAATAAGAGATTGGCAGAGGGTTTACAAGGGATATGTGATTGAGCCCAAAATTAACATGTGATGCATGAATTTTTATAGAAAGGCAAGGTATGGTGAGGTTTAAAGTTTTCCCTGTTCAAATAATGCACAATGTGTGAAGTACTGTTTAAAATACACAGGATGCCTGATTTTTTCTTTAAAAAAAATTGTTTGTGAAACAAGTGTAGTTAGTTATTCACCTGTTTTCTCTTGTTGGCAAATGTTTTCCTGGATTCCCTTTCAACTGGAGTAGAACCAAAGAAATCAAGTGCAGAAGTTGCTTTTTTCTCTTTAGGTTTGACTGGACTGAAGCAAGAATAACAATCTATGTGTTAAATATTTCAGTAACACAACAATGCTGTGTTAAATGCACCCTTGATGGCAGTGTAACACTGTCTTTATCATTTTGCTGTTGTTTGCTTGTTTGTTTGTTTTTCATTTTTAACCCTCAACACTAAAACTCAGTATGCATATTCTCCATACTGTTCTCTATACATTTCCTAAGGTGCTGACAAGGAGAATTTGTTTAACAAACAAGAGCTTAGTTGGTGATCATTTCCTTTACTCTCATGACCTTAATGTTTGATTCAGGGATGATATTGTAAGGAGAAATTAGATGCTGGTCACTCTTAGGGATCAACAAGTTAAATGTATCAGCATAAGAGCAGTGTTCTATGACAGATCTAACATTCTCAATGCCTGAATGATGGAAGAAAGGAAAAATCAAACAAACAGACAAACAAAATTTAGCTGGATATTTTTAGAAGAAGCCAGATGATTTTCCAGAGCAATATCTTATGTTCCAAATGAACACCATGGTTTGGTGCTGAAATGTGAAATATAATGAAAGAGAATGATGGATGATACCTCTCTTTAACTTGCTGGACCCCTTTAGATGCTACATTTTCTGTCTGTTTGGCAGACTTTTTTAATTTGCTTGGCACAGCTTCTTCCTCATCTGTAGAAACCACATCAAAATATAACTCAAGGGCTATGATATTCAAACCTATTCAAGGCAGAGTGGTCTAATGGTAAGTGTGCTGAACCCAGGATGAAGTGGATGGATTTGTTTTCTTTGGCAAGCAAATGCATGAGTAAGGTTAAAGGTCAGGTGATGTAAAAACTGACCTCATTTTACCTCAAGCTCACCTCCAATATTTTCCCTATCCAGCCCTCACACTCCATCAATAATGAGAGTCCCCCAAACCCTTTTGTAGAACTCAGTTGCATAAAAATATAAGGCCTTTCATGCATCATGAAAAAAATCGATATCCAAAATTCTTTCACATTCACATGAAATTTAAGATGGTCACATTTTAAAGATAAATAAAACCAAAAAAATTAAAAAAAAATACCAAATTCATATTTTCACTCTTTCCAACCTGTTAATAAAGCTGTTAATCCTAATAAAATTAAAAAAAAAAATTAAAAAGATGTTATCATGATCCCTGTGAAGATAAAATCTCCCAATTGCCTTTCACATAAAAAGTATCGCATACCCTCAATAAGTGCACATAATTTCCTTACCTGAGTCCAAGCTGATTGGTCTCCTATTTTTCTTAGCTTTTGAACTCTCCTCCTTCTTGACTGATGTGGCTTTTCTGAAAGTGCATGAAAGAGAACATGGTACTGAAGACACCTTGACATCAGTATGCATATTCTCCATACTGTTCTCTATGCATTTTCTAAGGTGCTGACAAGGAAAATTTGTTTAATAATCAAGAGCTTTTATAGTTGGTGATCATATCCTTGACTCTTGATTCAGGGGTGATATTAGAGTTCAAAAGTTTTACTACAACTGTATGAGAGGGAAAAGAAATTCAAGAAACAAATCACATACCTGATTCTTGGGGGAAGAGGATCTTCATCAGAATCTAACAGAGATGTAGGATTAATTTAGAAATAGGGTCAGGAGATCACTGTGATGTTCTATGTATAATTGTGTGAATCTTTTCACACCATGTTTTTGTAACAGAGCAAATTGCAGTGGAATTGACAAGGACACTGTACAGCACAACTACCTAGCTTACATATACATTGAAACCATTAAAACTAATACAGATGTGTAACAGTTTGTGTAGAGTCTCAACATCTGTTCCTTTTGAAACTGTTGGTGTTCATCCTAAAACATTACCTGAGTCAATAATGTTTTTTCCTTTCTTCTTCTTCTTCTTCTGATTTTCTTTTGGTTTTTGTTTCCGGGCAATGTCATCATCTTCACTACTTGATAAACCCTGCCCAGCCAATAAACAATAACATATTCATACAAATGTGAGATTATAATGGTTCTTTGGACCTAATGATAACAACAAAGACCAAACAGAATTGGATAACATCAAGGGGTGTGTTGTTCCTCACAGCACAACTTTCTTACAAAACATTTTCTTCCACCTCAGAAAATAAAAAAAAGACACCAGGCTTGTGGAAAAAAAAGTCTGGGTTATGTGAAGTCTCCAGGTTTCTTTATCAGTCACCTTTCAAGTTAATCAACAATTTCATTTTCCCTTCAGTCTGAATAAATGAAAATTAACCAGTACTTGTCAAAATCGTGAAATAAGCATTAGTATTACATACTGCAACTGCTCTGCAGACTTAGTAAGCTGCAGTTTGAATAAATTAGTAGGGAATGCTAATATCCAAGATATTTTGAACTTGAGTGAAATTTAGGTGGCAGTGTATCACAACACACTGTTTAACCCTTAAACTCTCAGATGTGATTAACATGTAACTTCTCCCTAGACTATCTAGTATATAATGTCCAACAAAATGGTTATTAAAAAAAAAAAATTTTTATCTTGATCTAAGAACAAAGTCCTATAACTAATGTAAAAGAAATGTGAAGCAACTAGAGGAGAGAATTAGCAAACAGATCTTAGAAGGTAAAGGATGAATACAAAATTGCTTCATTTTACAATCCTGTTTAGGATGAAAAAAAAAGGCAAAACATTGTAACTTATCAGCCTCACTTAGCTACCCTGACATACTCAGATAAACTATTGAAAATTATACCAACAAAGTTACTTCACACACAATACCATCTACCATTTCTCACATTCCAGTCCAGAAAGATACCTTGGGTTAGATGTATGAAGTGGAATGAAACTCTTGGTTAAAACATGTCGTAAAATTACCTACCATGTGCAAAATTAAAGATTCATGACAAAAAAATTTTTCCATGTATGGCAATAAATACCAATTTTGGCCAAATAAGGTGTTCCCCCACCCCCAGGAGAGGATAGTTGGGATTTTGAATTGCACCCGAGTGTATAGACACAAACGATGATCGATTCAGTCAGACAGGGGCTGTGATATGGGCAGATCTTTTCTCCGTCGCTTCTGAAGTCGAATTCCCTGATAACACAAATAACTCTCTCTCTCAAATGCTACATAATCCATTACTTACCTTGGTTTTCGTTCGGAGCTTTCCTACATCTTGTTTCGTTAATGAATTCGCAGTAGAATCTTTGCCGCGCTTATTTTCTACTTTCGAAGCGCCTTGCTTCGCTGTCTTTCCAGTAGGGCTGAAGAACGATCGAATATCCTGTAGAAAAATGTGTAATTATAATTGAAACACCGGTTAAAAGACTATCACTGAGAACGAAAACGACTAACAAACCATTTTAGTATAGTGATGTGTTCACATCACTCTCCGACATTTCGCGCCATCTTTGAAAATCTCCTGTACTTCAGTCAGCGGTCACCAACCTAGCTAGCTTCCAGACTCCTGCTATTTCTTTTCCGCTAAGACAATAGGTCATAAGATAACCATAATCTAAATTCGAGTTCGCAGAACCAAATAGAGTTCCTCTTATAAAAGGAGCTGTCAGACAAGGGAGGTTGAATCACATGCAGTTGCCTCAATAGATTGCTTTGAAAATGGCAAATAGATCCGCCGATTTATCCAATGCTGAATCTTCACTCCGTTCGCGATGAGATCAAATCCTCTTCCGTATTTAAAGGAAGGACTGTGCCATTTAGCCATATAATGCAAATCTCTAATTTAAAAAAAGACACATTCCGTGAGGCTGCAGCTGTGCAATTTACAAAGTGTCAAGCATCGGTGTTCTTAGTCGATGAAAAATTCGATTGCGTGACATGACACCTTCCCTGAAAAATATCGCGTGACTAAAGTTGTTTTGCAGCATGTTTCTGATTGAAAAATAACAAAAAAATTAAAAAAAGTTTTCGTTAAGGTTTCAGCAATAATAATGGTTTTTTTTGTTATCATTTGTGTGATTTGTGGACTAAACTGTCCTATTCATCCTTGAGGGGCCAGGGCATTGGAATTTTCAGTATTTTTTAGATCGGTTTTTGTGCCAAAAAATTTCGGTTTTTGGGATTCGGTGTTCATTGAGGTTTACGGATTTTCCGTCTTTTAGCATTTGGTTTCCGATTTTCGTCAAAAATACTTGTCTATTGAGCTTCGGATTTGATCTCCAATGTGGTTTTCGGATTTTTCTATTTGGATTCCGGTTTCTCTTCGATCCCGACAAGCGGCCATTATGCGCCTCCACTGATCTCGAATAGCCGCAAAACCTCTGTATGCTCCACTTGTCAACACTGTATGGGATCGATTAGGGTTTTGAGAACTGAGATGTGAACATTTATAGGTTTTGACGGTTTTGCATGCGGTTTTCGGTTTTGATCGAATTTTTTTGCAGTTTTGATACTTTTGCTTGAATTTATTTTAGCAAATTGCAACTGAGTTGAGTAAATCAACTCAGTTGCCATGGGGCAGAATTAGTTTATGAAAAAAATTCAATACAGATAAATGGAATTTAATATATTTAACGACTAGGAGCAATTATGGTTAGTAGTATTTCAAGTATTCGGTTCGCGTTTGAGCTAGCTGTTAGCGTCTGTGCAGCATGCTGTGATCATTGGGGCCCTGGGGCCGTCCTCGTTTAGCGGTATACCTTATCAGTGCATGCGTTATTCTACCATGTGCCTGTGTGGTGTTCGCTGTTCTATAGTGTGGCATTGTTTTTCTTGAGGGTAGCGGTTCTTGGCATTTCCTTCTCCCCAACCCTAACTGCCAGGTTTATTTCTATTTATTTGTTTTACTCATTCGTTCGTCTATTTATTTATGTTTTCCTCCACTGAGCCATCTGTCTTTAGTGTGATGGGTGCTCAGAGGGGGCTTGGAACAAGATTGGGTAGGCCAGTCAGATGTTCTAGCGCCATGGGGTGTGGTTGTAGCTCCTGGGCCCCTTTGGCACCTAACCTCCATTTGTAATAGGGGAGTGAACTTGATATTGAGTTATTTATTTATTTATGTATTTATTTGGAATATTTATACAGGCTGACTCAGTTCGGCTTTAAAGTAAGTTTAAATGTGGGCCTCCATAAATGATAACAAGGCCAGATGACCACACTGGGAGCCACATTCTTTACTCTTTGTTGAAGTCTGAGAGTTCTTTTACTCTTTAACTCCCAAGATCTGATTATTATTTAATTCCCCCTCTAGCTGCTGCACAATTGCATATTCATCAGTTATGAGAACTTTTCTGTTAGATCAAGAAAACATCTTCTACCTGAGAAGTGTGGGTATTCTCATCACCTGTTTACTGAATAATGTAAGGATATTATTGGGAGAAGTTACCTGTTAATCATTTCTGGGAGTTAAAGGGTTAATGTCCCCTGCTTATAACCAGTACAGAGAAGATGTAGGAGAGTATGGGGCCTATGGTTTATCATCCTTAGCTGAGAAGACCTGAACGTCTAACCATTTTCAGATGTTACAGCAAAGGCAGCACATTCTCCTTAGTTATTTTAAAACCCCTGAATGTTGTTGCAGTCTGGGGCTTCAACCCTCAACTACCTGCACAGCAAGAATGCCTTCACGATGTAGAAAGAAATGACACAAGCAAATCCAAACCAGTTGCTAGACAATCTAATCTACTTTATCTCTTTCCCTACAGTGAGGCAGTTTGAAGGGCTGCAAAACTCCAGAACAAAGATTTGTCTTTCAGATTGGCACTTTTCATCCCCACAGTATCAACGAACGCTTTACATTCAGCTAATTTATTCTTGTTTTCTGGTCACCATATTCCCACCAATAGTGTGCCTCCATTTTCTTCATATAAATACACACACAACTCAGAATTCCTTCAACTGCTGTGATGAAGGGCTAACACTTGAAACATCAGCTTTTAAACTCTTAACAGTGGCCAATCTACATTATCAACTCAGTTAATAATACTAAATTACCCTGTTATACTCTCCCACTGACGCAGCACCACATTTTCTTTATAACTTACCCCCTTTACCTGCACAACAGTCCAGCACTTAACATGAGTAGCAGAAAAAAAAGATTCCTCTGTTTTAATTAATAAAATATACGTGACTGAGTGTTATCACTGAGTGTTGTCACCGTTTAATACAGGTCAACGACAAAAGACAAGAAAACAACATTTAATTAATACGATAATTCATCATTTATTTTATGTCGAGTTTATGTAAAAAATGTATCAAATAACATCCATAAAATGATGGTACAGCGTAAAAACAGAACAATAGATTAGAATTCTAACAATTAGACCTCTTGGTAATTAACCATGAAGGGATTTTTCTTGAGTAATTTTCTTGTGTAATATTTGTCAGATACAAACAGTCCTATAGAAGAATGATAATCTGCAATTCGTTAAGGACATCTGAACTCTAAATACTAACATTGATTTTGGGAGACAAATATGGAATAAATTTTACTTCAGAGACAATTCGTCGTTTTATTCGAGTGATTCCTCCCTAAGTGACCGTACCATACAACCCGAACAGGCCGATAGGACTCAGTCAAGGATGACAACAACCGCTTAATAGAGACCACCGCTGAAAAGTGGTGAAAGTGACAATACATAAGAGGAAAAAATTCGGGAATTTGACAACCGACCGCTTAATACAGGTTCGACTATTAATTCCAAATAAGCCAATCAGCCCACGTGAAGAGCTCTATCCACCTGTGTGGTATATTATAAAAAAGCGCTCTAAGGTGGGTAGATGAAGTACAGTTATGAAGCACGAAGAGAAAATCTAAGAAGAAGAAAGAAGTCCGAGTCCAGCAATTACTCAGGAAAATTCTTATCTTTACCTTCTGAAATCGTAGCTCTAAGATTTTTGAGAACCCCACTTGTGACGCTACCCTTGAAAACACGTAGCTATTCACACTCCCAGCCCGACGGGGTAAACGGAACCTCGACCCACCCCTCCCCCCTTCGCATGACTCTTTCGTAAATGATTCTAATATATGCCATGGTCGGTAGAGAACTCCTGCTAAAACATCTACGTTGTAGCAGTTTTTTAGATCTGGAGTGAAGTCAGAATATCAGGGCTTGACTATTCGGATCTAGGACAAGATCTTTAAAGGAGGAAGGAAATTTATCTTTGCTCGCCCTGACGTCAGTGAATTTTTCGAGTTAGCTTCATTAAGCATCTCAGATTGAACGTAACAGGAATGCGTAGCGACAACGCTCTCCCCATGCCCATCTCTCCCAGGTTGATCCTTATTTCCAGGATTTTTCCACGGCTTGTTTTTCCCGGTTTTCCTTACTCCTCAAAAACCAGCACTCTTAATTCGAGTTGCAAATGCCACCTTCTAAAACCGTTTTTATTTCACATCTTGCATGTCACCCAGTCGAGGGTCTCCATGGGGTTAACCGTTAGCCGTGAATCGGTCAAAAACTAGCTGTTAGGCGTAAAAATTGAACAGTTTTAACCCTTAGTTGTAGAAAAAATTAACTTTAAAAAACTCTCCTTCCTACAATGAGTTGTTTAGTGTTATTCTGGATTAGCCGCGGCAGAAAAATGGCCACAATTTTAACCGTTAGCCGTTAAAAGTTCTTATCGGTCGGCCCTCAGTTTTAAGAAAGTTTCGGTTTTTTTATTAGGCTGTTTTAGTTAAGTTTGCTATCGTGGAAAAAAAAAATCATCAATATTTTCTACACTCGACTCTACACCATACCGACCTAGGGTACCTCCCATGATGAGGACGCTTTCTATAAACAGAATAAAGCACCATCTCCCAAAATAAAAAGGAAATTTCTTTTTTCTTGCCTCTTCGACAATATATGACTAAACATCATGTCGCTTTCCATGCTAAAAAAGCGCGTCGCGTGACATCCTAAGGAACGGCTGCCAATGAAACTGGCAGATATAAAATCTGAAAATATCGAAGTTTATATCTCATTTAATAACTCTATCCAAGGAAATGGGAAGAGGTTGAGCGAATAAGACATAGGTGCGCTCACTACTCCAAACGAAAAGATGTGACAAAACATCAGTCTGTCACATAACTTGGTAAAGAAGTGCGTCGCGTGACATCCCAAGAAACGGTTGCCAATAATCGATATTAGCAGTTATAGAGTCAGAAAATATCGAAGTTTATCTCTCATTCAGTAAACTTATTCAAAGAAATGGGCAAAAGTTATTAAGCGAATATTGCTTCAAACGACAAGAAATGGCTTATGCAGGTTGAAGCAGAAATTTTCCTTCCTTTGTTATTGATTTCCACTTCTATTCTAACAAAATACCAAGCGACTTGTTTCATTGTTTGACATTCAAATCTTAGTTTATTGTACTTAGATAGCAAGTTAACAATCTAATCGGAGAAACTAAATAAAATCATTTGGCTCCAACTTTCCAGCTCGTTCTGAGCTTCCTTCAATTCTTTGTAAGCCAGTAACTAAAATTATAAAATAAAACTTATCGTTTTACTTTTGGGCGATTAGTTTCAACAATATACTTAAAATGCATCCTTCTGCTTGTAAAAAAATAACACAATTTATCGCATTCAAAATTAAAGGAGAAATCTCAGTAAATTAACTAATACCAAGACTAAATCCTGGCCATTACGAATAAAATCTGTCATTTAACTCCAGATAAATCAAATTCTGATCGGCAGAAACTAACTTTAAGTACCAATGACTGGGTACAAATCCTCGAAAAGTTAATCATTGTTTGACATTCAAATGTTAGTTTATTGCACTGATATAATAAGTAAACAATCTAATCCGAGAAACTAAATAAAATCGTTTGGCTCCAACTTTCCAGCTCGTTCTGAGCTTCCTTCAATTCTTTGTAGGCCAGCAACTAAAATTATAAAATAAAACTTCCCGTTTTGCCTTTGGAGATTAGATTACGCAATATACTTAAAATGCATCGTTCTTCTTGTAAAAAATAACACAATTAACTTTTTACATAACTGGTCATGATAATTTCAAGATATCATATGGAAAAAAAAACAGTAGTTTCAGCAGAACATCAAAGATTAAGCTCTAAAGAGCAAAAAGTCAACTTTTGAATCAAAGGAAATCCGTTCTCTTGTTAAACTTGACTTTGGCCGTCTTTTGGTTCTTCTTGCTTTGAAAAGAAGACTGTTGAGAAAGATTCATAAGTAGCTTACTGGTTTCTGGTTCAAATATCAGCGTTCGCAGGTATCCGAAAACACTCTGGGATTCTAATGCTCACTGCCTTAACTGAAAAATAAAAAAAAGCTAAGCTTAGGGAGGATGGTTGAGTTTCCAAGAAATATTTCCTAGCACATGCGGAAACGATTCATTGCACAACAGCATTGTTTTGAAAGAAATTTGCTTTTTCACTCCTATTATGTTTCCTAACAAGAATGTCATCATCGTAAACGTGTCCACTTGATTGCACTGCATCTCAATTTGCAGGAGCAAAAACTAAATTCGTAAGCCAACTGAGAGGAAAATAACACACAAGTATCACTGCTCATACATAAGCTATAATTATGATTTAAGGTAACTTTGTATTGAATAGAATGTATAAACAGAATATTTACTTGTTTCGGCTTCCAATATCCTTGAAATCTAGTTTGACGTCATCACCAATGAGTACAAATGGTGCCCAGTAAATCACCTCCTTGAACTTTTCAATTTCTCTCATACACTTCATGGCCTGATTGAGAGCTTCACTTGCCTTCTTGCCTTTGGCAAGTGCATCGTAGAAGAAAGTCATGAACTCCAGGGTCCCCTCGTCGCCAATCGCCCACAAGGTTACCACAACAGATCTAGCACCGGCACCCAAAAGTGCACGCGCCATGCCGACCACACCCTCAGCCATGACCTCCCCTCGAGCAGTGTGACAGCAGCTAAGTACAACCAGACGAGCTCGCAACCCAGTTTCTATGACATCTTTCATCGTCAGTAGATAGTCTTTCTCTTGCGGATGAGGGTTTTGTCTTGTGGTGTTTGGTGCCAGGATAACTTCTCCAGTTTCCATTTTACCGTGTGCTGCTATGTGAACTAAGGCCACTGATGATATTCGTTTTAACACTTCATGTTTTGTTGCCATTTCTCCAGTGAGAGGGGAGACATTGAGGATACGTCCGATCATCTCCACTTCTTTCCTTGCTCCTGGAAGCTGCACCAAAAGTCCTTCCTGATAGATGACATGTTTGAAACATGGGTCACCGACAAGCAATGCACCAGTCTTCACGTGAAAGTCAGCTGGACAATCACGAATTATTTGCAACGTCGTCAGAGAGGGAAGCACACGAATTCTGAAAGAATCACTTAAATATGATGAGTTCGACTCCTGCAATGCTGCATAAGGTACAAGGCAAAATGGCCCCTCAGGAACGAATGTGATCTCGTCGTTGCCTTTGATCAGGTCAGCAATAGGAGAAACGATGATCTTATGCAGCTTATTTAAAGCACTTGATTGGGAGTGTCTCACATCAACTCGGATCACACCATTGGCCATTTCTTCTTCTGTCGGCGAATCAAGCAGAGGATTTTCGATTGCAACAGTATCTCTTGCACCGATCTCCTTAAGAGCAGATTTGTTCAGTAGCTTGATGAAACATTTCAATTCATCCTCAAACCTATAGTCGTTGACGTGTACCTGTCTCATCTGGATGTTATCTTCACTAAGGCAAACCCAGAAGTAAACGCATGGCCCATTGATAGCTATGAAAACTGTGCTCAATTGAATACATCTCAGAGAAATGCGGGGTGCGCTGTACGTTAAAGAAGCTCCAGGCGAATATTTTGTGTCCATGAGATCTCTCAGAGCTTGAGCACTTCCTTTCTCTGCGGCAAGAAGAGCCTTTACAGCTTGACCTCGTTTGAGATTTATACGCCACAAACTTTTGTATGTACCTTGGTACTTATTACGATAAGAAATCTTCCACTGATCGTTGAGTTGAAGACTGGCCCTGATATCATCATACAATTTTACACTCGAGTAATAACAATCAAAGGCCACCATAAGATTTCCTTGGTACTCAAAACTGTTTCCAAGGGAATGGAGTGCCCACGCTTCTCCGGTCTTATTTCCCGCTTCTTTAGAAATTTCAAGATGACGTTGATAGTACTCGATGGCTGTTTTAAACTTTCCTAGAATGCCATAAGCGTTGCCGAGATTGCCATAACTTCTTCCCTCTCCGGCCTTGTCTCCCACTTCTTTAGCAATTTCTAGATCACGTTGATGGTACTCCATTGCTGTTTTGAACTGTCGTAGACCTTGATAAGCGTTGCCGAGGTTGCCATAACTTCTTCCCTCTCCAGCCCTATCTCCTACTTCTTTAGCAATTTCTAGATCATATTGATGGTACTCGATGGCTGTTTTAAACTTTCTTAGACTGTGATAATCGTTGCCGAGATTGCCATAACTTGCTCCCTCTCCGGCCTTGTCTCCCACTTCTTTAGCAATTTCTAGATCACGTTGATGGTACTCCATGGCTGTTTTGAACTCTCCTAGACTGTCATAAACGTTGCCGAGATTGCCATAACTTTTTCCCTCTCCGGCCTTGTCTCCCACTTCTTTAGCAATTTTTAGATGACGTTGATGGTACTCGATGGCTGTTTTGACCTCTCCTAGTCTGCGATAAGCGTTGCCGAGATTGCAATAACTTCTTCCCTCTCCGGCCTTGTCTTCCACTTCTTTAGCAATTTCTAGATCACGTTGATGGTACTCCATGGCTGTTTTGAACTCTCCTAGACTGCCATAAGCGTTGCCGAGATTGCCATAACTTGCTCCCTCTCCGGCCTTGTCTCCCACTTCTTTAGCAATTTCTAGATGACGTTGATGGTACTTGATGGCTGTTTTGAACTCTCCTAGACTGCGATAAGCGTTGCCGAGATTGCCATAACTTTTTCCCTCTACGGCCTTGTCTCCCACTTCTTTAGCAATTTCTAGACATTGTTGATAGTACTTGATGGCTGTTTTGAACTCTCCTAGACCTTGATAAGCGTTGCCGAGATTGCCATAACTTGCTCCCTCTCCGGCCTTGTCTCCCACTTCTTTAGCAATTTCTAGACATTGTTGATG